GGACCACAGATTAAAGTAAGGACAAATTAATTAAATGAAACTTCTATTTTGTCGGAAGCTTGTGCATGTGTATTGATGGGGAAAATTGTCAAAAAAGTCATAAATTTATCGTACGGTCACCAATTCAGTTCTAAACTATACAATTTGGCCAATGTAGTTTGTAAATCTTTTAAAGATTTCCCAATATAGATAAATTTACGCTAGAAATTGCTAACGTGGCGGTCCAGTCAGCGGTGATTGTCATACGTTTCACGACCGACGATCTGACACATCCTGCTCAACTCAAGAGACGTTGATTTGAGAAAATTTTATAGTTTTATAATTTTCTTTCTTCATTTCTTTTATTTTCCTTCATTGTTCATCTTCCTAGAAAGAACTGGCAGGGGTCGCCAGGGGGCCTCGGCAATCGGATCATTGTAAAACTAAAGAGTTGTACAAGGGTTTTGATGAAGTATTTCAAGAGTTTCACTTTACCAACAGGACTTCAATCGAGGCGAGAGTTAAGTAGCTAGGCCCTCTTACTTCTAAACCATGAGGTTGCAAAATACATGTTATTATGATTGATCGACGCATATATAAATGTTCGCTTTTACGATGAAAAAATTGAAATAAGAAAGAAGTGACTTCATCAAACATTAGCTTCTACAATGTTTCTCAAAGAGCAATGAGTCCTAATATATGTTGCATTGGAACGTGCAAGAGATGTGACGAAATTATACATTTTGTTCTATCGCGACCGACCTCCGTTTTTTTTTTTTTTAACATGCAAAAAAGAGGGTCTCGCCTGGTACGCGCTAAGTCTAGGTTCGGAACTTAACTCGGGCTCTCCCAAGCTCATACCATATCGCGACTTAGGGTTTATGTTTTCAACCTGCAAGTGGTTTATATCAAGGAGTCGCCACTAATCGATTTGGGGTGAGTCGATTAGAAACCCAAATAAGGTGATGGGAGAATCACCATATTCCTACAAACCAGAGATTAAATGAGTTCAGGGATTTGGTTACACTAGTTAGATAACTAATGCCCTTTCGGTATCTTTTTACCCTGTTCATTTTTGAAAACATTTGTCAGGCAATTTGGATTGATTTTAGGACATTTCTCCTAACATGTGAGGTGATCAAACAAGTGCATAATCATAAACGATTAGCAGTCAAAATAGACATGCAACCTAAGGTTCTAGCCCTAACTAAGGCGAACAACATTTAAAACACAACAATTTATGCAATTAATCTAATAAAAAAAAAACATGCATAATACAACAATAATTTAAAACACTCATGTATATCATATAATTTAGAAAAATATTTAAAAATACTATATTTAAATTATATCATAATTTTAAAAAAATCGAAATTTTTTTTAATTTTTTAAAAATTGTTTTTTAAAAAAATTTAAAATAATAATAATAATATAAAAAAATAATAATAATATAATATTAAAACCGGGTCAGGTCGCAGATCCGGGCCGGGTCGGATTCGACCCGGGTCAACGAATCCGACCTAGGCATTGACCGGGGTCGGATCAGCTGATCCGGGTCGGGTCGAACCCGCGTGCATAGACACATGGGGGCGTCGACGGAGCCAAAATTGGCCTTCCGCCGGCCGACCCAGACCGGCGCCGACCTAAATCTAGTCCCTGGGGATCGCCACCAAGCTTCGCCACGCGCTTAGGTCACCGTCCGACCGCCTGCTCGCTGGCCGGCGACCGAATCAAAACTAGCCTCATTGAGGCATTTCGTCGAATACCTGGCGTGCAGAGACAAAAATGGGAGATTTCGACCTGTTCCGGCGACCTGGTCGGCTCCGGCAACCTAGTTTACCTTTGGTGTCGACACACGGGCTACGGGGAACGACGGTATGGGCCGAGATTCACGCAAAACGGCCGGCGCGAGTCTCGGCCAAACCGAACACCAAAACAGGGGAAAACAGGGGCAGTCTGGACAGAGGGGGGCTCACCGATCAACGACGCGTCTGGGGGTCTCCAGCTGATCTGGGGGGTGACGGCGACGCTGCTGGTTCTCCTTCTCGCTCCGGCGTGACCTCGGTATGCCCTCTTTCTCTCTCTGTTCTCTCTCTTCTCTCTCTGTTCTGTTTCTCTCTCTGTTTTTCTCTTCAATGGCCGACCCTCTCTCTTCGTCTCTCGCTGGCTTATATAGCCGATGACGACGCACCACTCTCTGCTCCATTACGTCTGCTAATGACGGCCTGCACCGGCCTACTCTGTCCCGCGACTTTCGCGGCCGTTTAGGCCGGTGCAGGGGGGGCTTGTTCTGGTGCCGTGAAGAAGAGAGGAAGGAGGAGGAAGGAGACTGGGTTTTCGGGGTGGACGGGACTGGCAATCAATGCTAGTCCCGTTGGCGTGTTCCTTCGGCCCTCCTCTGGCTGATGGGGACGGCGCAACGGCGCTCCACCGTCTGTGGAGTCGACGGCCAGAAATAGAGGTGAACAGGGGAGAGGCCGGCGGGGGAAGAAGGAGAAGGAAGGAGCTAGGCCGAGCCGGGCCCAGCTCTCGCGGGGAGGAAAAAGGAAAAAAAGAAAAGTGGGCTGGGCCCACACGGGGGGAAAAAGAAAAAGAAAAGGGCCAGGACGACCTGGCCCCGACCCAGCCCAACTCGGTTTTTTATTTTTTAATTAATTTTTTTTTTAAAAAAAATTAAATGAAATTTTGAATATTTTTTTAAATTCTAATAGACCCTATTAATACAAATGTGCCTAATTTCTATATGCAATGCATTTAAATAGAAATATTTTTTGTTTTAGGAATTAAAGAAAATTAAATCCTAAATTTTGTGCAATTAATTTTGGGAAAATTAAAAGAGGTGTCAACAGCTGCCCCTCTTTGAAGGTGAGCTCGCAGAGATTACGTTCAAAGACAAAATGACACCTAAATTTGGCCCATGCATGCTCAATGAATGTTTTTTTTGGCGAAACCGTGAGTCCCATTTTTTTATGATGCGATAAGATGATGCGTGCTAAAGCAAATAAAAACATACCTGGAGCTACTTACCTTGCCGAAGGGTAGAGTAATTCCAGATAGTTGGTATCATGTGTCGAGGACTCGAACCTATCTTCGATCGCCTTGACAAGGGAAATTGCTTGTCTAGGACCCGAACCTCTCTTCGGTCGCCTCGACTGGATTTCGTTTGTCTAAGATCCGAACCCTTCTTCGGTCGCCTTGATTGGGGAAATCGCTTGCCTAGGACTCGAACTTATCTTCGGTCGCCTCGACTGGGGAAATCGCTTACCTAGGACCCGAACTTATCTTCGGTCGCCTTGACTGGATTTCGTTTGTCTAGGACCCGAACCTTTCTTCGGTCGCCTTGACTAGATTTTGCTTTGCCAAAGTACCTGTATTTTATGAGGGGTACTTGAAAAGACTTGATGTGAACAGAGGGGGTTAATCCTATGCTCAGGAGGGGTACCATAACAATCGTAGGTACATGGTGAACAGAGGGGTGAATCCAATGTTCAATTGGTGAATAAAGGGGTCAGTCCAATGTTCAAAGGGTACCATAACAATCGTAAGTACATGGATTTTTGAAACAGGACATGGGTAGAATATACTTACCTGGGCACGTTCCTGCCTCTTAAGGGCATGTCTCCTGTCAGACAAGTTGTTTTTGTGCAAAGACATACGCACTCATCGGAGAAAATAGACAACTAAGGCTATTCTAGAATATCGTATGAAATATCTTGACCGCAAGTCAAGATGCTTTTCTTTTTCAAAAAAACACCTAGTTTACCTTCTGGGTAGTTTGAAAAGAATTCATAATTTTGGAACCGGGCATGGGTAGAATATACTTTTCTGGGTAGTTTGAAAAGAATTCATAATTTTGGAACCGGGCATGGGTAGAATATACTTACTTGGGCACATTCCTACCTCTTAAGGGCATGTCTCCTGTCAGATAAGTTTTTTTATGCAAAGACATATCCATTCATTGGAGAAATAGACAACTAAGGCTATTCTAGAATATCATATGAAATATCTTGACTGCGAGTCAAGATGCTTTTCTTTTTCAAAGAAACACCCGGTTTACCTTCTGGATAGTTTGAAAAGAATTCTGATGAAATACCTAGGGTTTCTTACCCGGAAGTTTGATGCATCATCTGCTGAATACCCAACCTTTTTCGGGGCATCTCTCTTAGGATGATAATGAGGGCTTCTCCAGCGCTCGAATTTTCGTGTCCTATCACTGGGGATTAAAACTCTGAGCTGCAAAAGCATACTGTGTCAATTCCACTCAAGGAACATAAGAGTTTTTTGTGACATCTTTGGAGACGCTCCAAAGGTCATATGTTCTTTGAGTCTTTGAGGATATTTTACCTGTCAAAGACGATTAGAGCAAACATGCATGCATTCATCAAGGATAGACAAGCTAGGCTATTCCAAAATGTGTATTTGAAAGTTCATGCAAGATGATTTTGCCATGTTTGCATCACCAAACATCCACCGAGGGTAATTATCAATCAAGACAATTTTAGCTCGCAAGGTGGACTTCTCGAGATGCTGAACGAGGGACATTCAGTCAGAAAGGACTTTACACTCACTCTCATTTGAAAAGGATTGTTTATCCCGACCATTAAGGCGGAAACATCGAAAACACTCGATCTGATTGTTATCGCATCAACAAGGGTTTGAGTTATATCGCAAGCGGTACGATTTTACCAATCTGAGAGGTCTTTATTAGGATCGTAATATAGGCTTGGTTAATGGCTTAACAAAGGAGACTGTCCGAGTCAAGGCTATGAAAGAAAATATTCTGCACTCATCTTCAGATTTACAAGTCAAGAACCCAGCAAAACGAGATAGAAGTAGTCTTGCTCGCACTTCCTCGAGCGTTGTTTATAAACATTTGAAATTCCACGTTAATTCAAGTGCCCTAGTCATAAGAGACTTCATGAGGGATGTAACGTAGGCTTGGTTTACAGGTTAGGGAACGAAATTATCGTTGGGCTCAAAAATATGTGTAAGGGTGAGAATTGATGATCATCTTGGCATTGTCACCAGTCTTCTTTTCCACCATCAGAATCCTCTTGGAAAACTTCCTGGGCAATCCCGTGTTTTGGCTTCTCCGACAGCTTTTTTTTTAGGAGCTTCTGTGTCAAGCATCTTCCTAGATACCATTCGATCTTTGTCCCAATTGCTTTCTCCATAATAGGTTCGTCTTTATCTATCATGTGATAGATCTTTGTCAAGACAGAGTTCTTAAAGTAGAGGTTTGTATCAAATAAGAACTCAAGTTTAAACCCTTTGGGGTCGTCTATTCTACACCGCTTAATATCTTTGAGATATTTAAGAGCGCCTTCATCACTCTCAGTGATCTCCTCAGCTAAAACTTCATTGTATTTCATAGCAGTTACCCAGAAATTAGGGACTCTTTTCTTTTCATCTTTTTTTTTTCATCGTTTTTCTTCTTTTCTTTTTTCTATTTTTTTGTTGTTCTCTTTGTGTTGTCAGGACTAGCCTAAACAAGTTTGAACAGAACAATATTATTAGGTTCTTGGAGTCTTCATCTTCATTCGGTACTTTGGACCATGATGCTCAAACTGTAGTGACTTTTGCCTTGCCCCAGTGTGGGGGGTGATCACCAACTGGATTCGTACGAAATGAAATCGCCGGCTCAATTGGACTAGCAAGGGATATAAGTGTATGGGATAGAAGAAGAACTGCTCTTCGTCATCCCAGGGCACTTAAATTATCGTGAGAGTTCATCTATAATAATAACACTCAAAGATTAATGCAAGTGAGAGCAAGAAAATTTCTATTTATCTTTTTTACCTTGTGCGAGCTGTTACGGCTGATGATTATAGAATATTTTAGATATTACAAACTTCTCATCCTTCTTATCTTGTTCAGTTCCTAGGTGAGAACATCACTGTTATCAATGATATGTTGGCATTTTGGACAGGCTCTAGTTAGTTTGCTGCTCATCTCTTGACAAAGCTCTCTTAGCCTCAACCGTCCGGCTGTCGATGGTGTGCTTATCCTGGAGGACCCTGTCGAGGACCAACGAATCCGTGAAGACGACGAGGCCAAAGCCACGGGGGCGGTGATCGAAAGGGAGGGACGCTCTTCTTGCTCCCTCTGAATTTGAATCCTCCCTGTGATGCCGATTTACCTTGAGCTGCCCCAATGTGGGGTGGTTCTTGACAGGGGTGATTTAAAAGGAACCTCCGAGTGTATGGGCTCAAAAAATGGTCAAGCAAAGGATCAATGGTAGTATATGGGGCAAAGAAATGAACTGCCTCTCGTCATTTTGACTACCGTACCTTATGCGAGAAATCCCTTTACCTTGTAAAAATGGAACCTTTTCGCTCATCTTGCTAAGGTTTGATACGTGAGAATGTGTATAGACTAAGGATTGCCTCTCATCATCCTGACACATCTCGTTCAATACATCGGAGCAGTTCGACACCATTCGTCGAATAGTTAAATTTTCACAGGGAATTGGTGAATTAAACAGGTAAAATTACCATGCAAAATTCCTTTCCACGTAATGCACTTGGAGGAAGGTTAAGTATTCATTCGCTTTAACATGTTTCCTCTTTTTCTGTTTCTTTGTACTCTTATGAAAAGAGTTTTTTTTAGAGAAAGAAATACTGACCTATGCTGCAATAGTGAGGCAAAACCTGCAAGGTAATAAGAAAGACCGTGTTAATGAACGGCTCTTTGAGGGACAGAAATTGGGAACGATACAACATTACCCTTCGTGTTTTCCTTCATTTGAGCTTAAATTGACAACTCCTTGAGTTTTCTCGGATGTTGATAATTCCTTTCTGACAATAACATGAGCTTATGTTAGAAATGAGATGATTAAGGGTAAATTGAGAACGATACAAATTACCCTTATTCCATTTTGCCTTCATAGCTAGTAGAGTCTTTTCTTTCAAAACTCTTTTCATGATTGGTCTTGAAGTTCAAATGAAATCCTCTGCAGCTAAGGGTGCCCCCGATTAGAAGGTCCTATTCTTGACACGTGTTATGTTAATACGGCTCCGGTACGTCGGGGAGTTTCTCAAGAATCATGTGATATCTGACTACACAGGGCATGTGCAATTGCTTGCATGGGAATCTTCGTAGCAAAGCTAATTTCTGCTTTAAATGTCTTTGACGGATATGGGCGTGATTACCATCGAGATTTCTGTGTTTGTCAGGCTCGGCCTTGACGCTATTTCGTCATGTACGAAATCCTTTCCGATTAGACTTGCCACCAGGAGTGTCCTTATCAATAACTTTTTTGCCAATTCCCTTATTATCAACAGGAATATAGAAGTTATTTCAAGGGTAGTATTTCTTTGCAGCATCAGAGTTGACTGGGTTAGAGAATTGACGTCCATCCATCTCGGTCAGAATCAAAGCTCCTCCAGGGAATGCCTTTTTTACGACATAAAGACCTTTGTAGTTTGAAGCGAACTTACCTCCAAGCTCAGGGGGTAGTGGTAGCACCTTTCTTAAGACAAGATCGCCTGCTTCAAAGTGTCTTGGACGCACCTTTCGGTTGAATGATCTGGTTATCCTCTGTTGATAGCATTGACCATGACAAAGAGCTTTCAGCCGCTTTTCATCGATCATATTCAACTGCTCTAGTCTTTGCTGCTTCCACTCTGCATCAGACAGTTTCACTTGGGACAATACCCGTAGCGAGGGGATTTCTATCTCAACAGGCAGAACTGCTTCCATGTCATACACCAAGGAAAAAGGGGTTGCCCCGGTAGATGTCCGAATTAATGTTCGGTATGCCATTAATGCAAAAGGCAATCTTTCATACCAATTTCGGTAGTTCTCAGCAGTTTTGGCTAAGATGTTCTTGATGTTTTTGTTAGCAGCCTCAACAGCTCCGTTCATTTGGGGACGGTAAGGAGACGAATTCAGATGACGGATTTTGAATTCACTAAATAAATCATCAACAACCTTGTTATTCAGATTTGTCCCGTTATCTGTAATGATGGCTTCAGGGATGCCATAACGGGCAATTATATCTCGCCTGATGAATTTCATCACATTCCGAGCAGTGACATTGGTATATGACGTGGCCTCGATCCACTTGGACAAATAATCAATTGCAACCAAGATGAAGCGATGTCCATTTGATGCTTTCGGATTAATTGGGCCGATCACATCGATGCCCCATATTGAAAATGGCCGTAACTTTGACAACTAGTGTAGTTCAGTTGATGGGGCATTTATCTTGTTTCCATGGATCTGACAACGGTAACAATTTTGAACGTGTCGGATGCAATCACTTTCTAAGGAAAGCCAGTAATAACCTAATCTTGTTATTTTCTTAGCCAACATGTGTCCATTCATGTGTGGACCACATACTCCTTCATGCAATTCCTGCATAATTCGTGTTGCTTCAGTCGCATCCACGCATCTTAGCAAAATAGAGTCATAGGACCTCTTGTACAAGTTCTCACCATTGACGAAGAACTTCGTCGCCATCTTCGTTATGTACCTTCTGTCTGCAGAGCTAATCCCTTCAGGGAACTGCTGCTCCCTGATGTAGTTCATGATATCATAATACCATGGTTTACCATCGGATTCTTCAGTCACTGTCATGCAATGGGCCGGTCTGGTCAGAACTTCAATCTTCAAAGGTTCTATATCCAAACCATTAGTAACCTGCAACATGGATGATAGTGTAGCCAGTGCATCGGTGAATTGGTTATGAGATCTAGATAGGTAGTCAAACGAGATCTCGTTGAATTCTGTTACCAATTCTTCTAGATAGTCATGATAGGGCACTAGTTTAGTATCTCTAGTCTTCCATTCACCCATAGTCTGGAGTATGATTAAGGCAGAATCGTCGAACACTTTCAGTTTGGCTATTTTCATATCAATTGCTGCTTGTAGACCGAGAATACATGCTTCATACTCGGCTACATTATTGGTGCAAGGAAACACCAATTTCGCGGCTACAGCATGCCCATCTGGGGATATCAAGACTGCCCCGGTGCCAGAGCCAGACACGTTTACTGCTCCATCGAAGAACATGGTCCATGTGTGTTCCTCCATTAATAAAATGTGATCATCTAGAAGATCATCCTCATGTGTTTCCCCAGGGCATTCAGCTAGCATATCAGCGATCACTCAACCTTTCACTGATTTCTATGATGATGTTTGGATGTCAAATTCTGAAATTAGAATTTGCCATTTGGCTAATTTTCCCACTAATGCCGGTCGGTTAAGCAAATACCGAATGGGGTCATTTTCAGTTAGGAGGAACGTTTGGTGGTGCAAAGTATATTATTGGAGCCTATGCAACACCCACACCAATGCGACACATGTTTTTTTTTTATTCGGAATAATTCTGTTCCGGGATGGTGAATTTCTTACTCAGATAATAGATGACTCGTTCTTTTCCATCGTCGGGGTGGCTCTGGGCCAATAGGGCTCCTAACGATTCATTGTGAATCGTTAAATAGAGAGTTAGAGGATGCCCTGGGACTAGTAGAACTAGTACCGGGGGACTCATCAAATACTGCTTTAGCTTTTCAAATATTTCCCGACAATCTTCATCCCAGTTGATCTGAGCGTCTTTCCTGAGAAGTTTGAAGAAAGGCCGTGCAGTATCAGAGAGTTGGGAGATGAACCGAGTAATGTAGTTCAACCTTCCCAAAAGGGTTTTGACCTCCCTACTGTGGACGGGGGTTGCAATTCACTTATTGCTTTAACTTTCGAGGGGTTGATCTCAATCCCCTTGCTACTCACGATGAATCCGAGTAACTTACCAGAGGTCGCCCCGAACACGCACTTTGCAGGGTTCAGGCGTAATTTGAATTTGCGCAACCGGCTGAATAACTTTTCCAAGGCTTCAATGTGGTCCTCTCCGCATCTGGTCTTGGCGATCATGTCATCGACATAGACTTCAATTTCTTTGTGCATCAGGTCATGAAAGAGAGTGACCATAGCACGTTGGTATGTTGCCCCGGCATTCTTCAAACCAAAAGGCATAACCTTGTAATGAAAGGTCCCCCATGGAGTGATGAACGCCATCTTCTCCTTGTTTTCATCGTTCATCCTTATCTGGTTGTACCTGGAGAATCCATCCATGAAAGAAAATAATTCAAATCCAGCAATGCTATCCACAAGGACATCTATGTGGGGGAGCGGAAAGTCATCTTTTGGACTGGCCTTGTTCAAGTCGCGGTAATCAACATAAACTCGAATTCGACCATCTTTCTTCTTCACTGGCACGATGTTTACTACCCAATCAGGGTATTACGAAACCTCGATGAACTCTACTTTCAAAAGCTTCATCACTTCTTCGATTTTTTTCGACAGCTCGGGTTTGGTCCTTCGTAACCTTTGCTTTTTGAGAGGCATGTCGGGATTGGTAGGCAAATTGTGCTCGACAATCCAAGGGTCTAATCCTGGCATATCAGAATAAGACTATGCGAAGACGTCTTGATAATCTTTGAGGAGAGCGATCAAACGTATGGCTTTTTCTTCGGGAAGGTTGGCCTCAATCTTCACTTATTTTGGATCCTGAGTACCACCCAAATTGATGGTAACAGTATCTTCGGTTGTAAAGGGCTTGATTTGTTCATATTGCTCCCAATTTCTTCGGATTTCAGCGGGGTCATCACTTGAATCGTCAGAATCGCTGCTGTAAGTATCTACATCATCAGGCTGAATCGTACTAACTCCCTCGCAAGTCGCAAGATTATGCCTGGAACACAGGGTAAATTTATCAAAAAAACAAATGGGGATGTGGATTTTTCATTGTCCTTTTCCTCTTAAAACATTTTTTTTAAGAAATAGTGAAATGTCTTTGATTTTCGAAAATTTTTAGAAACGAGGAAGCATGAGATAGCCCGGGCCTCAGAATACTTTCCTTTTCGTGGCTGGATATCATCAACGGGCCGGTTTGGGATACTACCTCATGCCCTCAAAATATTATTTATTTACAATACATGGATTTACAACCTTAGAAGAGGGAGAGTTCAAAAAGACATTTCTTTCAGCAGAAATGACGACAAAAAACAAAATACAAGGATAGCCTCTTTTCCAGGGATTCATGCAGAAAAGATGAGAGGAATTCTACTCAAGCGACTTGCGCCCATTCCCTCCATCGGTCCTTCGTCTATTGTGCCAACGAAGAAATCTTCAAAATTATCGTTCCAGGAATCTAGCTCATCGGCTCCTCTCTTTACTGGTGTCAGCTTTTCCATGTCGTCCCATCCACTAGGAATGCTATTCTACTAGTCTTCATAAAAACTTGATGGCATCTGGTAGTCAACGTAATAGTCGAACTTACCACTGGGCTGGCCCAGGGTATCCATAATTGCCTTTCCCTTGCGTGTCCTATCAGAAAACTCAGGGGCAGCGGCACGAATGCTAGGTACCACCAAGAGGTCATTTTTACCATGACACAACCATGGGGCACGAAAAGTGAATGCCCTAGCGTCCAGTAAGTCTTGAATTCTATTCTTCAGAGTATCGCAATCATCTAGCGAGTGCCCGATCTCTCCCGAATGATAGTCACAAGATCTGGAGGGATCATAGTTAATGAAGTACTTAGGAGTAGGGTGTTTTGGCCTCCTTGTGATCAGCCCCTTCTGCAAAAGGATAGGGAATATCACATCCATGGATTTGGGAACCGACGAGTATCGTCGTACATTGCCCTGCCACTGTAAGAGTTGGACATCTCGCCAAATCATGTCCAGAGGGACTCCCGACGGCGGGTTTTTTTTGGGACCATTTACTTGAGTTACTTGCTCTTGATTGGGAAACGGCAGTGACATGTCCGAGATTTGGCCAATTGTATCCATTAAGGATGTAAGCAAATCTCATAACTCGCCTAACTGATACTGCAAACGTGCAAACAAATCAGGCGGGTTTACACTAGTTTCTGAGGTTGAGTTTTCATGTATGGCTCTTATAAAGATGTCGTCAAATAGGGTGACCACACTATCCAGCGTTTCTTCTCGTCCACAATCTTTCTCAATCGGTAGCTTGTCTAAGTTTTCCTGTCGATCGACAGCAATATTTACAGGAAGCGTCGAGGAGCTCGGGTGACTTGAACATTCGGCAGGATGCTTGAACCCATCATCGGATTGTCCTGAGAGGTTAAGATAAATTTTTTCATCCTGCAACAATTTAGCAGGTGACGGAAAAGTCTCCCGGATATTGGGAAGTAGCAAACCAACTTGACCCCTCACGTACCCCTTGTTGGCTTATGGATTTCCTCCGTGATACCCTATACCAGCGGTACGGTGATTCCTGGCGGCCTGAATAGGCTCTCAGATGCCCCGGCCTCCTCTGCCGAGTCATTGACCTGGGGTGAAGCCATTCCCAACCATAACCTTCCCTACCATAATTGAAGCTTTTGACATATCATGAACGAGGGGAGAAGTTCCTCAATATCCGTGCATGGTTGACACAAGCTCGATGGATTGATAACTAGATTCCACCTTGCCACTTGGTTCAACATACGGGATGGCAGTTTCTTGATAGATTCGATGGTCTTCTTCTCCAAAGACTGTGATCAGTTTCCCTTGGGCTACAAACTTCACGCTTTGGTGAAGGCTTGAAGGTACGGCTCCAGCAGAGTGAATCCAGGGATGGCCCAGCAGAAAGCTAAACACAGTGGGGATGTCCATTACCTGAAACAGAATGCTGAACGCGATCGGGTCAATCTGGACATCAAGGTCGATCTCACCCACAGTGTCTTTTTT